TGATAGACTACTAACATTATCAGAACAAAACATGTTCAAACAAATTTTAAAGTTCAAATGATGGTTTCATTACCAACAGCCTGGGAAAATTCATCAATGATATTTTAACAGAAAACAAAAATTAAACTTTTAATATTTAACATTCGTTTTATATTTTTACAGTGTTTGTTTATTTGTTGTTTGTGTGTTTATAATGTATATTGTCCATAGATTATGTATTTTCCATGCATTTTTTTGTGTCAAATAAAATATACTATAAAACACTGGTAGCAAATACTGTAGGTGTCAAGTGCACACCGCCTGGTGTTAGGTACACATTACTGTCAGCCAATATATATATAGATTACATTATGAAGGTCGCAAATAAATGCAGCTTGAACCACTATCCATGCATTCCCAGTGCACTGCTAGTCTTAATAATCATAGAATTATAATAATAGTTCAGTAAAAACATCTGGTCATAGATGAAATAGGTTAATTCCATATTGGATCAAATGAACACGCCAAGCAAAAAAGACTTTTTTGAGTCGTGGCATAAAATTGAGGCAAATACCATCTTGACTCTTGAGGGGGAATATAATCAGTTGATTTGAGGGTGTCACAATAACCGTGGGAGCAAATCATTTTATGCTACGAACAAATGAAGACCTTGAACATACTTTTTGGACTTTAGTACAATTTTTGTTTGATTACCTAACGTTTTAGGTTCGTGTGCTGCAAGTTACAGAGCACATACCTACAACTGTAAGCGGCCTTCTCCCAGTAAATAATGAAGCAAAGGAATTTTTGATGTCGAAATGGCGGAACTCTCCCTTTTTACGCAAACTGTTAAGTTCGAATCACTAAACGAAGTACAGGACGACGAAGATGAAATATCCAAGAACCAACACATACCAAAAATTATATCTCAAAAGTGAATATTCGTGCTGTATTTTAAGTCTAACCGGGCCAGAAGTGGGAATTTGTTAATATTCAAACATATTGTAGTACCGGTATAAGGTAGTAACCCCGGTAGTAACTAGTAGCTTTGCGGTGAGTGGCTTACGCAGTAAGTGGGTTTCGTATCAGGTGGATTTCGCGGGGACTGGGGCTTTGTCTCAGTGACTGGTTCTTTCATCTTTGTTGAGAATTAAAGTTTTATGTTTCTTTAACAACTGGCACTATTCTGAGAATACCATCCTGGCAAGAGTTCCAAAATAAGACCCATGCTCTGATAATGCCTCTAGTTTCAAAGACCAATAAACATTATCATTATGATCTTATTTGTTTTGCAAAGGATAGTTGAATATTGTTTATTGAAATTAATAATCCCCCATAACCGTTTTCCAATATAAATTGTAGCACGTAACAAACTGTATAACTCAGTCTCAGTGAAATAAAGGAATTTATATATATGTTTACATTATTACTAATGCATTGCAATACAACTAATTCAAATTGAAAGAAATTGCAATATAAAATATTACATCAGTAATACTTCTCAAAGACGTATTTCGCAGTCAGTGTTATTTATGAAAATATTTATAATTTTATAAACTTGCTTGGCAATACCCACCCCAATTAAATATAATGTGTACATATTTTAATAAATAAAGAAATACTAACAAAAATGAAATATTATTTCATATTTTATTATATAACCTGCACAACAGTAATCAATATTTTTCCTTGGTAGAGTGATGTGCAACTTCATACGGGAATCCTGATAAAGTTCACAACTGGCGATTAAGCAATATTAGGGAATGTAAACTTTCTGTGAATTTGATTACCTAACGTTTTTAGGTTCATATGCTGCAAGTTACAGAGCACGTACCTAAGCAGCAGTTCCCCACCAAATAATTAGGCCAAGGCGTTTTCGATATTGAAATCATGAAACTCTCCATTTTTATACACTAGTCTTTA